AATTTTTTTTTTTTTTTTTGTTATCTACTGCAGTACATTTTCGTTATCTTGTACCAAAATACAAGCACGACTCATGGATTCTCAACAATTTGTGATACACTTTCTGTTCCACTTTTGAATTTAATTTTCAGAAAACAAATGACTGATTATCCACGTATATATGAACCCCAATAGCCAACAAGAAAATGCAAACGAGATCAAAAAAGATAATGGAATGAGCTAGTGTGGGCCTAAATGTAAAAAGTAGCATTTTTTGGCATAAAAATTAAAATTAGCTGCTGAGAATCGTATTTTTCCGTCATTTATTTCAAAATTTCTTATAATTATATGTATATTGATGCTATTTTTGGCCTTTCTTCCCATTTTTTATTTTTTGAGCCATGCAATGGATGTTAGACCTTATAAACAGCTATGCAAGAAACTTGCCAACTTGGAACCTGCCATAGAATCAAATATCATATTTGGTAGAGAGGACTGAATAGAACTAAAAACAAAAAAGAAAAAGAAAATCGTGTTCATAATATTGTTTAGTTTCGTCTAATAGACTAATACTGTGAATTGAACATGCACGAGGTGTATAGAAGTAAGATCATTATGTCAACAAGGTATAAGCCATATATACCAGCAGATTACAAATAAAAAGAAAAAAAAAAAACTGCAAAAAGGGGGCTATAAGCCATATATACCAGCAGATTGCAATTTCCAGGTCCTGTGAAAATGGATTATACATGTTGATTGATTTTATATGTATGTAATGGTAACTATGATACAAATGGTTGGTATAGAACAATTAATATCCAGCAATGTGAAGACAGCTGATCCAGATGGGGATTAAGATATGCGTCAACAAGACAAGCCAATGGCCAGTAAGTAAACTTATATATGGCCGGAATATAGTCCATTCGTGCTGGATGCTTGAGCTTCATGAGAGCCTTCATTTCATGCTTTCGGACCATTTCTCTCGAAATATTTAAATTCCCAGCAATTTCTCCCAAGGTTCTGTCTCCTCTACCGTCAAGTCCATATCTCTGTCTGATCACCAAACTCTCCTTTGGCTTCAGAGAATCAAGCTGCAAAGGATTTCAATAGAGGGATATTAAGACTAGTAATTAACGATGCACATGACACTTACGAAGAGATTTCAGATACTTAGAAGGATGAGATTTATTCGAGTTCTATATCATTTCCCTGAGGTGCCAATAAAACTTCTGATAGAAATGACATGTTCGGTAAGGTGAACTCAATAGTACTAGATAATATTTATATGTACGAGCTAAGCCATTATACTATGTATACTGCTTAAAATTCACACCCTTCAAGTTCCAGCATGCAAATAGTACTCACTTTTATAGAAAATCATAAATTTCATGAAAAAGAAGCCCAGACATAGCAACTGTTCAATTTGCTATATTTCACTGATTACATATCTTCTTATGTACTCTGAACGAGGAAGTATAAGAATCACATTCTCTAAAGAGATTGGATGAAAAGTGTTGCATGCTTGTTAACACAAGCCATATGGTCATTGGAGTATATTCCGGAATGGAATACATAGATATGAGTTGTGCAGAATTTGAGCAATAGTCATATTTTACTAGAGTGAGAGTAATTAGTCCAGAAAATGCAAGCACATAGTTAATTATGGCGCAGAGTCTATGAGACGAAAATTTACCACATCATCTAGTGCAAGCCTGAGAAGAGCAGGTTGCCTCCTTTTATCTCCTTCTACACCATCAACATCAGTAATTCCATTTATGAATTCCTCTTGGGTTAACGCATGCCGTGAATGGAGGGAAATGATAGGCTTTGATACTCTCATCACTTCGTGATATCTTTCGGGGGAAATACCGACTCTCTCTACAATTTCTTCGTCTGTTGGCATTCTCTGAAGTTCAAACATCAACTCCAGCCTCGCCCGATTGATTTCTGCTCTGACCTACATCAGAAAAAACAATTCAGTCTAACATAGCCTTGCTTGTCAAAAGTATTCACGCCGTCAGAACTGTAACAAACGAGGGAAAAGCATGTAGGCAGAAAATTTTGAAGTTGAATCAAAATAAGAAAGATAACAAGAGAAAAGGCATATGAGATAAACTCACCGACTCAAGGCCAAAGGACACTTTCGTGAAGCTTGAGAGCGTCATAGAACGTGTAATTGCATGTCGGATCCAAAAGAGGCCATATGTTGAGAGCCGGAACTTCCTTTTTGGTTCAAAACGATCAATGGCTATTATAAGACCCTTAACTCCAGCTTGACAGAGGTCTTGGAATTTTGGGCCGTTTGCAAAGTCTTGAAAATATTTGTTCATTACAAACAGAACAAGCCGGAGATTGTGCTGCAACCAATTAGAAACATGATAGCATCAGCTGATGTAATCCTAACTTGGTGAGCAAGGGGCTAGTTTACAGTAAGATTCAGATTTGGATCTAGAAATAGAGCCATACAGCCAGCCATATGCAATATGCTACACCATACGTACCTTTAGCCCGTGAACAAACTAAGAAAAACTGAAACCTCATTTATTTCCCAAACTTCCATCATAAAAACTTGTCTGAGTTCTGGAGTTGATACGATTATCGAATGACTTGCATCTTAAATATATCCATCAAAATTTGACGGTGAAAGATACAGTACTGGATTTTCTATAACTAAATTTCCGATTGTATAGATTGATTTCAAATGAATAAACAGATAGAGAAATTCATATTCATCAAGGTGAAACTCCTTGTCCCTTGTATCCTACCCCGATCGAAAAAAAAGAAAAAAAAGAGAGAGAAGTAATGGGAAGAGGAATTGGAGTATGTTTGAACATATCCATACTAAAAAGCAAAATAGACTCGAGCACCAAAGACTAAATGATCTTGTCTATGTCCACTACAATTTAAGATTGCAACAACGGTAATGTTATTTAAATAAAAGTTTTCATCCTTTTATGATTTATTGGATCCTTAGATTTGATTTTCTTTTACTAGAATTATATTTGATTATTTCAATTGAATAACAAACATTGTTTACGAATCACTTCAAGAGTCGAAATTATGATCCTATCGACTTTGAAAGATTTGGCATTTATGGCAATTGGGTATTAGAGGAGGAGCCACCGAATCTAATAGATGATGAGTTGGAGACATTCGCCGTGATTTAGGTCCATGTACTATGGAGAACGATAAAAATGATGGTAAATGTTCAACTGATACTATTATTTCTTCTTCTTATTAAAATACACATGATGTAATGCTAAATTTTATACCTTTTCTAGATCAATTGCATTTTGATGATCTTCATCTTGATGGCGATGGCGATGATGGCAATGATAATGACAATAGATTGAATACAAACAATGAAAACGAGGATTTTAGTATGACTGAGACTCCATCATTGGTACAAGGCGAAGGAATTGAAGAATTTATGTCTGATACCCCGGCATGGATGCGTTCTAATTATTCTTAATTGAGAAAGTGTTGATTTATTTCAAATAATTTACTTTATAACACGTACTTTATGCATGATTATTTTTGTAAGAATGTTCTTATAGTCTATGAAGCTATCTTGTTTAATTTTGCCACATAAATTTGTCTTCGATTGGTGGTTGTTTATTGCTTCAAATCCATATTTCATTATACAGGATCTACAATTTGTTGAATTTTGACACGAAGATTGATCTTTAGTCACCTAAATTACATAAAGTTAATTTAGTTAGTATTAGAAAATGTCAAAATTTTATTATTCAATAAATGGATAATAATATATTTAACAAGAATTGACCCGCCGGTCCAACCACCGAGTCACCGGTCGAACCACTGACTCACTGACACGCTGCATTGTCCGAGTCAGTGTTCGGGTCGGGTCTTACAACTATGGTTTCACATGAAGAGGAGCTGATAATGAAAAATGTGAATTACCTTGATCAACTTGTTTCTGGCAGCTCGACCAACTTCCACATGTTTCTTGAGTTGAAAAGTATCCATATTTGTTGCCTCTGCTAATTCACAATCTGTTGGTTCTCTTCCCAAATCATTTTGTAAGTTCTCCTTAACTTGAAGGATTGCCTAAATGACAATAAACAAAGTTAGCAGTCGAACAACTATCCACCGTCCTATCAAACAATTGATTCAAATTTATCCATTTTGGTTCTTTATATCATTAGTTCAGACAGGTTGCAATATGCTCACCTTCATAGGCTGCATCAGCTTAAACAGCCAGGCATGGTCAGATGAAGAAAGGACCGGTGGAATCTTCATTTTCTTCCAATCGAGGCTAAATAAATCGGTGGAAGCTGAATATTCTCTAACAAGCCGATCAATATCTTCATCTTCATCGTTTTTACATTTTTTCCCTTTCTGGGATGGTGCAATCACTTCACCTTCTTTGTTCGTTCTCATGGCAATCCTCGTCTCAAGACTTAATCTTTTTGCCTTCTTCCTCTGAATCCTAACCATATTATTGGCACTTCCCTTCCCTTCTTTCTCCTCAGCTTCTTCTCTCTTTCTCCTCCGTCTCCTCCTCTTAACCATCTGGTCGTTGACTTCCTTATCAGATGGACTACGTTTGAATATGTGTTCTAGTTTGGCGACAGCTTCATTGTAATCTAAATCAAAAGTACTCAAAATTGCTTCATCAGTCAAGACAGCATGTACTCGTTCTGAACGCTTTTTTACAGTTCTTAACCTCTTTTCATTTTCTTTAGCTGTCTCTATAGGTAAACAAACAGACTCTGGAGGTGCAACAAGTGACGTATTTTTTGTTTTATCTGTTTTGAACGATAAAATTACCGGTCTTTTATGTGGAGATAAACGCGTCGAAAATTTTGTGCTCAATCCCAATGGAGTCCGAGCAGCAGAAGTCGAAACAGTCACAACTCCCATGCCAAGTTCTGTAATCCAACAGATAAAAGAAGTTCCCAACACTTCAATCCTGGAGAAGTAAAACTAAAAATAATTAGACTCGAAAAGAACCGCTAACTTTAACATCATTTGACACACTGATGCACACATAGATCACATAAGGATTAGCATATTGACTATCGGGAAGTAATAACAAAGCAACAAAATAAGCCTCGATCTCAATAACTTGAGAGGTAATGAACACCAGCAGACGCCAATTATTAGCACAATAAGAGACACAATCCCATACCCAAAAATTGATCTTCAGTCGACTATACCTACAAAATATAGTATTTATTCACCAATTCATTTCTTTACAGCCAACCCCACCCATCCCATCCCACCTACCACCTACGCAAACTCGTACTCCCTCACCCTCCATCAATATATCTATATCACGTCATTCAAGTAAGATACAGAAACTTCTAAAAGGCTAACATTTCCATTTTAAAAAATCAAAACACTTCGCAAACTCTCACAAAAAAAAAAGGTATCTTAACGTTTTAGAGAATTCGGAAATTATTAGCAAACATATGGGTTCGAAAAGTTCGGCTACAGATTGCACTTCCTCATGGGTTTTTTTTTTTTTTTTTTGAGGATAAAACGAAGAATTAACTTAATTTTGAGTTTCAATTATAAAGAAAAAGATTTCCAAAAAATTACATTTCAAGACACGATCAAAGAAAACATGACAAGATCATTGCTAAAAATGGTTACCTTAAGTTCAAGTGAAAGCAGGATTAACCGAATCTACGCAGAATTTCCCTCGACGATTCTAAATTCCGGTACCAAAATTTTTACAAGAATCTCAGGTCTCAACTAAACTGACAGAGGATCCTTGAAAATATTAAAAAGAATTTCGGTGTCCACAAGCTTTTCTCCACATAAATCAACGTCTGGGAATGGAGGTCAAGATGATCAACGGCAATTAAATTGCCCACGAGGGAATAAACAAATAAATTGGATGACGTGGCCAGAGCCACATCAGAGAATAATACTAGTGAAGTTATTACGTGGCAAGTTGAGAATGGAAAATGAGATATTTTCGACGGAATTAATGGATGTGGTTCTTGACACGCGGATGGTTGTCTATTTTAATCACCCTGGGAAAGAGATATTTATAAGTGGTTTGTGAATTATTACGTTTGCCTCATTTCAACCAATTAAAACATCAAAAATGTTGTATTTATGAGTTATATTGTTTATGAAATACAAGTTAATAATTAATTTTAATAACAAATTTCGTTCAATAACAATTTAATAAAAATGATTTGGGTATTAAATAAGAAAAGGAAAACCAAGAAGGGTTAAAAAGTTGAATTGAGTTCGAACAAGTTGGTTTTAAAGGGTTTTTTTTCAGATGAACCAACCAGTTTCTTGTTAATTTAATGATTTTCACATTTTATCATATAATTGAACGAATTTCCAATTTTTTTCAATTTTGACAACATTATTTTTGACCCGTGAGAAGATGTACTTCGAAATTTTAGATTATCGAGAAGGAAATAGATATTTACAAAGGACACACTCAAAATAAAATAATATAATTGGAATAGTTTAGTACACATATGACCAAGGCTTTTAAATTGGCTTAAAGTAAGGGATAATTATTTGTTAATTTTATTGTGCCCTTTTTACAATTATGAAATTAAAAATACATACCATACTTAAAATTGTGTAACTAATTTTTTGCATATTATTGCGATGCAGGCATTCATCGGATTAACTTAAAATTTTGTAACTAATTTTTTACAATTATTAACGATTTATTTTGTCTGAGGAATAATGGTGAAATTAAAAAAAAAAAAAAAAATTCGGATGTTCTAGTTTCTTTTTTCTTCTACCATTGCGTGCACAAAACTTTGCACTCATAAGAAGGCATTTACAAGATTTTCTTCTTCTTCGCCCTACTTTAGTATAGTTTCAACGTTTTTCGGGTCTTGATAAGTATGCTCGAATGCAACTTGCAATATAATTTTTTAGATGACATCCTCGATTTTGACAAGCAAGTGGATATACATGGCACACGATTTATGTTGAGTTTGTGTTTTACTACTGATTTATGCATGATGCTTGCAATATATTTGAAATGAGTTTATGTAATAAGTTTCATATACAATAATATGTTTTCCTCTGCGAAGAGAAATGAAACTTTCTCTAAGGGTCCGTTTGATTGCAAATATGAAAAATTGGTAAAAAGAAAATGAATTTTAGGGAATTGGATTGTTTAGAAATCGTTTTACTGAGAATTATAATTAATTATGTTTGATTAATATAATTTTTCACTTGAAAAAAAAATGTTGAAAGTTTGGCGTCTGTTTGGCTTTGTTTTTCATGGAAGTAGTCCATTAAACTGATAATTTTTTTTTTTACCATTGCGTCTAGAAAAATTAGTGGGACCCTTTCTCTATCTTATAAGTGGTTTGTGAATTATTACGTTTGCCTCATTTCAACCAATTAAAACATCAAAAATGTTGTATTTATGAGTCATATTGTTTATGAAATACAAGTTAATAATTAATTTTAATAACAAATTTCGTTCAATAACAATTTACTAAAAATGATTTGGGTATTAAATAAGAAAAGGAAAACCAAGAAGGGTTAAAAAGTTGAATTGAGTTCGAACAAGTTGGTTTTAAAGGGTTTTTTTTTCAGATGAACCAACCAGTTTCTTGTTAATTTTAATGATTTTCACATTTTATCATATAATTGAACGAATTGCCAATTTTTTCAATTTTGACAACATTATCTTTGACCCGTGAGAAGATGTAGTTCAAAATTTTAGATTATCGAGAAGGAAATGGATATTTACAAAGGACACACTCAAAATAAAATAATATAATTGGAATAGTTTAGTACGCATATGACCAAGGCTTGGCTTAAAGTGAGGGATGATTATTTGTTAATTTTATTGTTCCCTTTTTACAATTATGAAATTTAAAATACATACCATACTTAAAATTGTGTAACTAATTTTTTGCATATTATTGCGATGCAGGCATTCATCGGATTAACTTAAAATTTTGTAACTAATTTTTTACAATTATGAACGATTTATTTTGTCTGAGGAATAATGGTGAAATTAAAAAAAAAAACAAACGGACGTTCTAATTTCGTGTTTCTTCTACCATTACTTGCACAAAACTTTGCACTCCGTAAGAAGGCATTTACAAGATTTTCTTCTTCTTCGTCCTACTTTTTAACGTTTTTCGGGTCTTGATAAGTATGCTCGAATGCAACTTGCAATATAATTTTTTAGATGACATCCTCAATTTTGACAAGCAAGTGGATATACATGGCACACGATTTATGTTGAGTTTGAGTTTTACTACTGATTTATGCATGATGCTTGCAAAATATTTGAAATTAGTTTATGTAATAAGTTTCATATACAATAATATGTTTTCCTCTGCAAAGAGAAATGAAACATTCTCCTAAGGGTCCGTTAACTTGCAAATATGGAAAATGGGTGAAAAGAAAATGAATTTTAGAGAATTGAATTGCTTATAAATTGTTTTACTGAGAATTATAATTAATTATGTTTGATTAGTACAATTTTTTATCTGAAAAATATTGAACGTTTGGCTTCTATTTGGCTTTGTTTTTCATGGAAGTTGTCCATTAAACTGATAACTTTTTTATCATTGCGCCTTAAATTTGTTCCAATTGCCAAAAAAATAAATAAATAAAATTGTAATTATAAAATAATTTGTGACCAATTAATTTATAATTTGTGACCAAATTATATGGAATTGTGACCTTAATATATTTAATTAATTAATTTTAAAAAATCTGAAATTTGAAATTTTGAACTTAAATTTTTAAATTTGAAATTGGTAAAACTAAATCTCTTAGTTATGTATTGTTCCATTTATTTTATCTTATCCATTAAGATAAGTGGGCTCAACTACACGCTGCATGTTTGGCTAAACTTATAAGGTACATTTATAGTAAAAAAAGCAAGTTTTAAAATTAAAAAAATATATATATTTATTAATGAAAGAGAGAAACAATTAAACTTGTTTATTTTGACAATAAAGTAAAAAAGTTACTTTAAAAATGTAACTTTTATGTAAAATAAGAAAAAAAATAAGTAAAATGCCTAAACTTATTTCGAGATAAAATTATTTAGAAACGAACCTGGCTTTCTTAGACTTTAGTCTACTATGAAGATACAAAAACAAATTAAAATAAAGTTTTTATTTTATTTTTTTGTATATGAATTAAAACACACACACACACACACACATACATATATATATACACACACTAGGTTTAAGCAATGTGCAAT